CCAGGCTCCGGGCTCCAGGCGCCAGAGGGCAACTACGAAAGGGGAGGAAGGCGGTTGGGGCCCCTGAGCGGTGGGTTCCACCGCAGCTCCCTGGCCGGCGCTCCCGCAGCCGCTGCCCCGCCGCTCCCCTGCTGCCTTGAGTATACAAGGATGGCTTTGGGGTGAAGAAATTGAGGGTCTGAGACTGTGGGTTGCCTTCTCCTTGTCTCTCCATGTTTCTCGCTGAGTATCTTTCTCTCCTTTCTCCCTGATTTGTTTTTTCTCTATCTTTTACCCTCCCTTTCAGTTTCTGCCTCTCTTCTCCCTCTGCCCCCACCTCCGAGTTCGTGTCCATCGCTGTCTTGAGGCGATCCTTTCCTGATGCACAGCCAGCTCTCTCCCTGCCCGTAGTGCCCAGACCCCGCTAATCCCTCTCCAGATGTTCGGGCTGACTCTGGTGCCCTTTCGCGCCCCTGTTAAAGAATTGGCTCCCTCTCCAGGGCTTTTCCTAAGGATGTTGGGTTTCTGGAGGGGACTCCTTGTGAGATTCAAGCTGTCACCACATCAGCTCGCGGGAGTGTGAAGTTTGTGTTTGTGCCAGAAGGAGGGGTGCCTTTCAAGGCTGCAGCCTGATTTGGCCTCTCTGAGGTCTGAGCCTCCCTAACCCCTCCTGAGTAGGGATCCTGAAGATCCCTAGCTGTTTGCAAACCCAGAAGTGCTTTGGGGGCAGCCTGCACTCTGAGTTGACGCTTTTAGGAAGAGCTTGAGTTGTTGAAAGCAAAACCCAGAAGCCAGTGCTGCCTTCATCCCTGAGCTTCAGGCTGGACAACTTGAGGGCAGAACCCTGGGAGAGGATGCAGTCAGATCACCTGGGAATCCCCGGGCAATTCACAGGTTTTGTCCAGAGCCCCAGGGGTTGAAGGTGTGTTTGGTGTTTAGCATATTTAAACTATGTTGCTGCCTGTTTCTGTCTTCACTGGGAGCAGGGCAGTCCTGCAGATGGGCCTGACAGACAAAAAGAGTGAAATGTTCAAGTCCAGAGAGAGGCTGCAGACTCAGTGGAAGGACTATTGCTGAGCAAGGTTCCAGGGGGAGCGGATTCCTCTTCTGGTGTGTGACTCTGAGGCACTTGTGAGGAAAGACGCAGCCTGCCTTACCTTTAGTTCCTCCATCCCCTGGGCTGGGAAGGAAAGGAGCCGGATGCCAGTGATAGCAGTGTGGGTTGGGAGCAGAGCCATTCAGAGAAAACACTGTCATTTTCCTCTAATTTGCAAATTGCAGCTATTCATGTTGGAGTGAGCAGCTGGGGGGAAAGGGGCCCCCAGTTTTCACCTGCGTTTATTGAGAAGAGGCTGGTAGGAGGAGGAATGCATCAACTTGTAGCGTGTGCTGCAAGCTGGATGTAACTGGGTGTGCACATCCTGGTTAAACACTGCCCGTTTGGAATATATAGCGGCTTTTTTTTTTTTTTGCATGTGATCTTAGAGGCTCCTGGCATGCAATCCAACCCTCAGCTTCCAGACTGTGTAAACTTGCAAAATGAATAGAGAGAATAGTGGTATCCAGGCCCATTGTTCAAAGGCACAGTCAATTTAGGGAGAGAGGAAAAGAATGGGAGGTGAATCTTCTCTGGGATTGCTGGGTTCAGCTCAATTAAGATTGTCCTATAAAAACGAAACTCCTCTAAATGATTGAATTCTAGTTCTCTTTTCCCCAGTCCCTGTGGGTTGCTGTGGGGACCATGCCAGACCTATCATTTAAGACAGAAATGTATGATGAGAGAAGCTTCTAGGCTTTAGGGAAGGAATACCTAGTGACTCAAATGTGGGTTGCTAAGCGCTGGGGCGCAGGAGGGAGTAATGAGATAGTAATAGATGTGACAAATGCTGCTGTTGCCAGCAAAGCCTGGAATGAAGTTCCTCTCTGACAGTTAGGACCTGGGCAAGAATGACTGCTCAGATGTAGATAGTGTCTATGACTTCAAATCCTCGCTTGCCTGCTGGTGTACCGGACCGAAGATGTAAGCTGAGCAAGTCTCTCTCTCCCTCTCCTCTATCTGCACACTGAATTGGTTAGTAAGTGACATGTCTGAGGGCAGGATTCATATCCAGTGGGTCTTACAAATCCAGGAATTTGAGGCTAATGAAATTAGTGTGTGGCCAGGCTCTGCCAACTATAATTAAGTCACTGTTACTGCCCTGCAATGCATTTTCAGCCTCAAAGAAGCATCGGGGAGGAATTTCTGGAGATTTGTTTCTGAGCCTGTACAAAATAATACTCTCTGATGCTAAGAAAGATTAAATGCAAATTAATATTGACTATGAGTAACATATTTTGAAAATAATCACCGAGCAGGGATGGCTAAAAGTAGAGAGCTTATGTAAGACAGTGCCCAGAGGCTAAATCCCCTGACCACTGTTTCATGGGCTATAAGTAAGATCTATTATAGTGGAAAGTAATGGGAATGTGTTTATTCAAGGCTTCTCTGCTATTGACTTGAGAGCAAATACTCTGAGAGTGTAAATTACTCTTGCTACATCCTGGGTCTGAACGAGCCATATTTCATGTGTAGTGTCATCGTCTGAGCTGTAGACTTGGAATTGAATGGTTTCTGTTTCAGTTTTGTTCCCTCAACAGCAACTCAATGGAAAAAGTATCCACTTGACGGCTGGAGGCTGTTGACAATCTAAACCTGTGGCCCTTATACCATAAGTGAAATACATTTGTATATTTGTCAATGTTTCCTTTTTGTCCATTGAACCTTAAATATTATCTCAAACTTTTAGGGTAACATTATACCTAGTGTTCTTTCTTCCTGTTTTCTTCTTATCTATCTATCTATCATCTATCTATCTTATGTAATTGGATAAATTGGGTACCTGGTATGGTATTATTATAGTGGTTGTTGTTTTTAAAGCAACTTCAACTTACTCTTTTTAAAATTTCATAAATATAGGTGTCAATGCCATTTGGAATAGTTTCTATAACAATCTCTGCCTCCACATTTACTGTTTCAGGAAATTTACCTAACAGATGGTGAGTGGGCAATTTTTAAAGGGGCATTTTTTAAAAGAGCAGAGAGGGAAGGAAGAGAGATAGGCACGTACTATATTTGAAGAGACCTTCACGTGTATTTTATGTGTACATACTCATTCAGTCAGGATGTCTTTAGACATCTTTCCTTCAAGCATCATTGAAATAGTGGATGCCTTTAATTCAACTGTATAAGACATCTCTTTGTGTCCATAGTTTCGCTTGGAGAAAGCTTGCTCTTGTCAAAACCCCATAACCTTGTATTTCCAGCTTCCACTTTGAACATTTGAGTGAGTTTAGAGGAACATTTTAAGGATACATATTCACATCTTTGTAAATATTAGTCTAGCTGATTTCCCATATTCAGACTTTTCCCTTATTATTTTACTCATGTGCTCCTTCATGGTATACACACACCACACACACACACACACACACACACACACTAAGGCTAGTGATGAGGAAAATAAACTCCTAGGTCAACTTACTGCATGGTTATGACCCGGGCAGGGAGTAAGAATGGCGGAGTTTATAGTAGCACGCATAGCTCTCATTATTCAGTGTCCTATCCCTTTCATCTTGCACAAACACCAGGCTTTTCTTTTGGAAAACTGCCAACAGTGGCATTCTGCCTCCTCCATGGCCCCAGGGATGACTGGTTCAGATGTAGCCATCTGACTTTGGCTCCGCCTATCAGAATCCTCCCCAAGATTTTTAGTCAAAGAAAAATTGACAACTTGTCTTTTCTTCCCAGAACTTCCAAGCTGGGGAGACTTTCTGTAGAAAAAAAGGCATGCCGCTGAGCAAGGCTAAGTGATGGAGAGAGGCGGAGCCTTGATGGCATTCTGGAACTCCCAAACCCAACCCACTCATAACTGCATCCCTAAATCTCCAATACTTGTGGGGTGTTTGTTTGTTTTTAAGATTTCCTTTCAGCCATGTTGAAAGCAACTGAAAGTATCATAGCTACAACAGCCAATTTCCTATCTAATTCCTGATGTTATGTA